TGACCGGCAAGACCATCACCCTGGATGTGGAGGCCAGTGACACCATCGACAATGTCAAGGCCAAGATTCAGGACAAGGAGGGAATCCCTCCTGATCAGCAGCGTCTGATCTTTGCTGGCAAGCAGCTAGAGGATGGCCGCACCCTCTCTGACTACAACATCCAGAAGGAGTCTACTTTGCACTTGGTCCTGCGCTTGCGAGGAGGCATGCAGATTTTTGTCAAGACTTTGACCGGCAAGACCATCACCCTGGATGTGGAGGCCAGTGACACCATTGACAATGTAAAGGCCAAGATTCAGGACAAGGAGGGAATCCCCCCTGATCAGCAGCGTCTGATCTTTGCTGGCAAGCAGCTAGAGGATGGCCGCACCCTCTCTGACTACAACATCCAGAAGGAGTCTACTCTGCACTTGGTCCTGCGCTTGCGTTGAGTGGTGTCAGCAGTGACATGGTGAGTTCTTGGCTTCGAGTGTTTTTTTTGCAATGCTTTGTGGGGAGTTTAGAACCTACTGGAACGTGGTTTAAGATTGTTTAAGAACTGTAGCATACAGTAGTAGTGTTCAAAGTGTTCTATTGACTGAATAGTTTTTCAGGATGACACCATCTCTCAGGACCTTTCCCTTTTTTTTTAATGTTTCACTGAAGCCAAGAGATCGAAACCTCAGTTTTGTGACATTGAGACCACAGCGGCGCCCACTTCCCCGGCATGGAGGTCTTAAGTTGATCATCCCGTCAGATGCTGATAATGACGGAACAAGACAAACAAAGAACAAACACATACTCTATAATATATATATATATATATTATAGTTATATATATATACAGTATATATTTTGATTCACTATATAATATGTGTTGATGTATAGACTATGAATGAAGGTGTGCAAGGCCAGGTACTTGTGGCATTCCACTCATGGGTCAGTGCTCTTGTTTCCAAGAGGATGAACACTTCCTGTCAGTGTCCTTGCTCCTAGTAGCGATGCCCTTTGCTCCTAGTAGCTTCTTGTTCCTAGTAGTAAGGCCAGGAGCCCCTAGTAGCGTCATAGACAAGATTTTATGGCTACAGGTTTGGACACATCTAATTTTGCGTGTCCGTTGCTGATATCAATGGATGTTCATTGCAAGGTGTGGCTTTTGTTGAAACCAGTTATATAACAGTCATTTATTCCCTTTTGGGCAGGGAATCGGGTTCAGATGGCGCTGCTGGCGGTTTGAATGCAAAACACGGCTGCTTCACAGTCAACTGAGTCCAGCGTTCTAGACATCTCACGAAGCTGTGGATGGAAGAGGCTGCGACATTGTACAGCTAGTGACTGGGCATCCGAGTTGTTCCTCCTCGACTATTCTGATTTCAGCCTGGTTGAGTTGAGCAAAAGGACTGACTGACCGGCCTCCAGCCTGGTTATCGCAACTCTTGTACCTTGGGTTGACCTCATTGCCATTGAGTCATCTTGCCATGGAAGATGGATGGACCTCCGAATAACCTCCATCCAAAGGAAGAGCTGATTGTCACTTGCATGGCTACCAGCAGCGTGGAGTGCATTTTCTGCCACGTTGTCACATTGTCTGCGCCCGCCCAGGTGTCTCATGAGAAAGATAGGTCTTGCTTGCTTGTTTGCCGGTTTTTGAATGGGCCAGGAAAGGGGCGAGAAGGGAATCATAAAGACCGAGGCCTGGACCTTCAACACTCCCAGTTCAATCACATGCCATACAAGTGCGATGCAGTGCATTAGACCTTTGACATCATTGTCCCCGGCCGCCTGACCGCGGGCCAGCGCCTTCCGCGAGCTGTGGCAAAGCGCTGCTTCCATGCGCCCCAGGGTGAGAACTGGGCACGGAGACCGATTTTCTCCGGGCGGAGGGAGGCGGGAGAGGCTATGCTGCTAGGCCGTCCTCCACGGGGCGAATTGGGGTGGGGCAAAAGGTTATTGAAAAATTGAGCGCAGTGCGCCCAGGGTGAAATCCACAGGTTTTGGCCTTCAGATGGTTGTTGTCATACCGACCAGAACATTGCGGAAAGCAGATGTTCTTGCACTGGCGCAGGTCGCGCTACATCACCAGATTCATCGGTTGACCATGTGAACAAATGTGAATATTTGTCTCACCTTCAAGCCCCATGAAGGTTTGACTGATGAACATTTATTGCCGCTTTTTGATGCTTTTTGGCTCATGGAACAGATGGGGAATGCGTAGTGTGCGGTCCTCAGTGGGTGGCGTGGCCGATGGAAGATGATAGGGTCCCAGAAATGCGCTGCATCAAGACCTGTCCCAAAATGTGCTGGATGATGGGGGGCGTTTCTTTCCAAGTTCCAAGTCATTTTGGTGTCAACTGCAAGAGGCGTCCAGGATCGTACAGGGACACTGGGGTCGGAGCTTCGTGCATATGGATGTTTCTACATGAGCGTGATGTAGTACCTTGGACCGGGCCATCACCTTTAGCTGGATGAAGATGATGACATGATACAGGTTGATCTCAGGAGAGAAAGCGCCAACACCTGCAATGACCAATTGTTTTCTGAAAGAGCGGTTAAGAATTTCAGGAATTTGGCTGAAGCCTGCAAACGCGATACTGTAGGCCCCTCTCAAATGAGCATCAAAAGACAGGAAGATGACTTGTTTTGTGCCAGATGCTTTGTTATATGCTTGGCTGTACATTCAGAGTCAAAGCCGAGAAAGGCGCCCAACACCTCAGACTGGGTTTGAATGGGCGACAGACACCTGGGAGTTGCGAGTGGATGACGATACATCTATGCTGTCCATGCGGCAGTTATCCCATTCATGCTGCAGCAGTCCAGTGAGTTTCCAAATGTTGCTTGATGGATCTTTCGGGGCTAGCTAGATAGAAGCAAGGACGCTACGAACTAGGGGAAGCTGAAGAAAAAGAAGAAGAAGAAGAAGAAAACACCGGCACACCTGTCGACCAGTGACGACATGGATACCAGGTAGACCTCCGGAGGCCTTACGGCCATGGTCCGCCAGCGGCGCGACTCCAGCCGCAAGTGGGGTCCCCAGGGACTGGCATCAGGGGTGACTGGTCCGACAACAATGGCAACAATGCCCTTCTTGATGACTTAGTGTATGATATATAGCTGAATAATGCTGAATATAATATGATATGTTCCAGACTAATTCTTTTGCTATGCTACTTTGTTTGGACCGAAATGCGGTTGCTGGTGCATGTTCCGGATGCTGTACGGGTTTCCCTCCTTGGTCTTTGGCCCAGAGGCGCAGCCGGAGCCGGCAGCGGCGGCGGCGCCGGCGGGGGAGAGGTGGGGATGATCGAGGATCAGTCGCAGGGCGGGGGCATGGTGAGGCTCCGGCTTGGTCCAAGGGTTGGTGGTTTCGGTCGTGTCACGGACCAACGCATTGGGGTTGGTTTCTGAAGGTTTGTTGTTGTCACCATAGAAGTCCTTTGATACAATATATGTATATAAGATAATAATATATATATATACCCCAAGTGGCCCAAGTGTACTGTAAGCGACCTGGATGGCCTTGGGTGGGGGTCATCAGTTCAACGATACATCGAATGACATGTGGGCGTGTCGTGTTTAGAAGAGGTTCTCTCTTTTCGCAGATGACCAGCCCCCAAATAGCAGGTTCATCGATCTTTGCAATCTCATCAGGGGTTGGTCATCCCTGCATGGGTGGTCGTGGGGGTATTGAACCACACCCAGTAGTATGGCGGTACTCCACTTTCGGACACCGAGGACCGATACGACATTTGGGTTGACCACGCTGCAATGCGGGGCATTGGGTTTCCAGGCTGATCAGGATTGCGATGATCCAGGATTCTTGGAAATAAAGCTGACACTCAAAAAAAGACGATGATGATCCTTGCATTCCGACAGGTTGCCCAAAACAACAAGTTCTCTACACGAAAGACTGTTGTACTCCGCACCAATCACCCCCAGCTTCTTGGGTAGCTCGAACAGATTGACAACTTTTAAGAGGTTTGAGGAGCTGTTGATGTGAAGGGGATGAAGGGAAGATAGATTCTTGAAGATCAAAGCTCCTAGTAGCGTCCTTGTTACTAGTAGTGAGGCCAGGAGCCCCTATAGTAGCGTCCTTGCTCCTAGTAGCGATGCCCTTTGCTCCTAGTAGCGTCCTTGCTCCTAGTAGCGATGCCCTTTGCTCCTAGTAGCGATGCCCTTTGCTCCTAGTAGCGTCCTTGCCCCTAAGGGAAGGAAGGGATTCCGAATCTTCACGCATCTTTCTGGCTTGCGAATCCAGACTTCAAGTGGCATGCGCCATCCGTCTAGTCGGCAGGTTCATCTGAATCCTCACCGTCACCCTCGAGCTCCTCAGGCGATCTGGGTGACCAGAAGTCCAACATCCGAACTGACAGTGTGAGGGCAGATGATGTTGATGGCTGGAGATCAACATATGGCCGTTCCATGCTATCTTGGTGCCAGAAGCACTTCAAAAGCATGAAAACAGGTTCACCCTGCTTTTCAGAGGGCTTGAGTTTATGCACATTAAATGAACTTTTTTCCATGAAGTTTGCTGGGTCCACCCAGGAAAGAAGTATCATTACTAAGCTTGAAACTTGGCATAGCTTGAAACTACGGACGAGTTGAACCCCTTGGTAGAATGTTGGTGGATGTTCCTTTCATGTCCCATGCCTTTTGACAATTCTTTGCTGAAAGTTTTCTCCCACTATATACTCTTGAAGAAAGACAAGCTGCAGCAGCTGAGATCAAGGGCATATCCCACCGCTCCAATACTTGTACCGCGTTTTGATGTTGTTTTTTTGCATGGTTTTGCTTCTTTTTTCTTCTTCCTACAGAAGGAAGAAGGATGACCCTGGCACCGGTTCTCACATTGAAAACACGAGAAGACCTTAGCAACTCCGCCGTTGATGGCCCCTCGGTGCCCATGGAGGCTCGAAACGCAAGGGCTCCGGTGGCTCCAAGCGCTCTGCTGCGAAGCCCGGTGCCAGCGGCTTCGGCGGCAAAGAGGCCGTGCAGAACGGGCGAGAACAGATGAGAAGGGATAGGGCGAAAGACTTAGCAACAAAGCCTAAGAAAGCTGAGTGAAGGTGAAGATGTCTAAATCAACTAATGAGGCTATTGATGGTAATTGTATGTATTTGTAGATTTTTGTACTGATTCGTTCAAGCAGGACTGATGTCAGAAAGTGTGAGCAACCATTTAGAAGACTATGTTTAGCCTCATGATTTGGATGTGGCTTTATCTCCAGCACTTCCGCCCTGCCGCCATTTGCATCAAAAGAAAAGAACCTTGGCCCGAGTCTTGCAGTGGAGTCGAGTCTTGCTGGCCAAATGTGCCCCCCAAAAAAATATTGGAGACGAAGAATTTGTACCATAAAGGGCCCAATCCAGATGTGTCCTTTATATAATAGTTGTTGGCATAAGCAAGCCTAGGTGTCAAACTCAGAAGACCACCAGAATCTAGAAGACCCCTGCAGTTGTCTGGGATTGACACGCACACACAGAATTCCTGAACCAACAGCACTGCACTGTCACTTGATATCACTTGCAAAGCAGTATGACAGAAACTAGTGAGACTTCGTCACGATTCACCCAATGGGTTTGCAATACTTCCATCACACATTGTCCTTGTCCTTGCTTGTGGTTTTGACACCCGGAATATCCGCCGCATTCGGTCGAATTCATTTGAGAAGTGCTCAGCAGTACAGCCGACCATCATTTGGACTGTCTTCCACGCTGACTGAGCTTGGAGCTGAGTCACACGCACGCACAGCCAGGCTTTTCATACGGAAATGAACGGACATGATGCAAATCCAATTGCAACAGAGTTGACGATGGTCTTGCCCTTCCTTCCAAGGTGCTTAAGGAATTTGAGCCAGACCTCAGACCACCAGGCAGAAGTCGTGCCCTGGCTGCGAACCAATGTGTCATATCTTGTACAAATTGAACAGGACCTGGTCAGGCCTTAAAAGGTCAATGGCAAATCTGCCAGATCAAAGCTTGCAGCTTGCAATCAGGGCCATGAGATGCTGGCATTCCAAGGACGTCGATACTGACATCCGACGTGCGGAGAAGGAAGGTCATTGGTCCAACCTTTTTGCAGCACGCTTTCAGAGAGATGCAGCTGGGTATCCAAAAGCTTTTCAGATTTGACAAGCATTGAGCTCCCAACATGTAGGGGAGCAGAAGAGGTGAGACTTCCCAGCCTGTTTCATTGCCTTTTCATGCCTTTTCCACCTGTGGTGTTAGAGCCCAAACCTCTGAGACGGCGCAATATGCAGAGCTAAGGTACGTCTTTAGACCGCAACAAATACCTCTTTCCACTTGCAGTTGTGGCAAGATCTCGAAACATACCAGGCACTGGAGCCGGCTGAGGCTATACTGACAATCTGTAAGATGCATTTAGATGTTGATGTGTGTTTAAGGGCCCTTTGGGAGGCGCTGGTGAGCTTTTGTAGCAAAAGTCGTACTTATTGAAGCACACTGAAGTAATTTGTGAAGGTAGACGTGAAGCAGTGATAAATATTGACAAGCATTGTTGCAGATCATGACATTTTATTTGACGATGGATTTGAAGAACGCTCTCCAAAATCATCCAAAGCTGTGCTGTTGCTCATCCAGAATTCCACATCTTTGAGAACAGCCCATGTTCCCCATCGCCGATGGACCTTAGGTTGGAGTTCATCACTAGTAGGTTGGAGGTCATCGCTATTAGAAACAAAGAAAAGGATGAAAGGTCCAATCGTTTACTATTAGGAGCAAAGACGCTACTAGGGGCTCCTGGCCTTACTACTAGGAGCAAGAAGCTACTAGGGGCTCCTGGCATCGCTACTAGGATGCTATTAGGTTGGAGGGTCTCCAGTCTCCACTGGACACGATTCGTGGTGCCAGGAGGAGCACCAAGACGCGAAAGCGCTCTCCGCGGCGTTTGGTTGCCCGACGGGTGCCGCGGGCTGTTGGAATGTGGCTTCAGCGAACAGCAAGTAGTTCATGTTGATGAACAATGAGCACCAGAAGTTATATAACTTTGTGATACTTGGTGTTGATGGCATTGTTTTCAGCATTGGTCCGATTTTCCAGCTAGAACAAACATCGATTTGTATTTGTCTCCGCCGGCACCTTGTCATGAGTCATGACAGTGAGCTTGTTCCTTGCACCTTCAATTGTTGATGCAGAGCAACTACTGGAGGCTTGTTATAGGCTAGATTTGAATGTCGTCCCAAAGCCAGCGATCGCAGGCTCTGAGATTGAAAGACGTCCAATCCTCTCCAACGGCATCGTCCAGGAGTGACCGAAACCAACTCCGTCGCACAGGGAACCATCGTTTGTTGTTCATGTTTCTTTGATGCCGCATGAATTGTGCTCGTCACTCGAATGAAATCAATGAACCTCGCACATGGGCTTTGCCAGCGACATGCTCCGATTTCGGCCTCCGGCACGCTCCGAGACCTTCCGAGCTCAGGAGGATCAGTTCACCGCCGGCTCCATCTCCGGGTGACAAGAAGAGGGTCCTCTGACCGTTTGGGGTGGGGTTGGGCAGCAAATCGACCCCAAGGCCATGTCACTGGATGTCACTGGTCCTGGTGAAAACAAACCATTTTAGACAAGCATCATGATCGTTACGGGAATTTTATATAGATTGAGAAAGCACTTAGACTAAGATGAATCTTGCTTGGAAAAAATGGTGCGGAGGCTCTTGTTACCAAATGACCCCATAATAACGGCCGTGTTTCCAATGGTTGGGCACATTTAGAGAATGTACAGAGGTCATAGGCGGCGTTTAGGAGGTTAGTGTTTCATTCTGCTGGCCTTTGGCCCACTGATGTTGCAGCTGAAACTCAGCCCTGACAGGAAGACGTACTGAACATCGATACATATTTCTAAGCTGAGCATAAACATACATTCCGCATTCATCCGCATTCCCTACTCTACAACATCCGCATTCCTTACTCTAGGAAACATACGCATTCAAAAGATACCAGTTGGTAAATACATGGCTCTTTTGGGGGAATGCTGCGGACTGCTGCCCGCTGCACTCAGTTTATGATGGCCATGTGCGGTGCCTTTGCTTCGCAGAAGCTAGGAGTTCTGCTTTTACTTGGCTTTGGACATGCCGCCATTGGCGTTTTTAACATGACGCAACCTGGCACCATTATCATGGATGTCAAAGACGCCAATGGCTTTGTGTTAAGTTTTGCCGCCAATCCGGCCCGTTGGAACGCCTGGCATGGAAGTAGTTGTTCTTCAACTCGTTGTCCTGCACCCAGTGCTGTTTTGGATCCTGGCTTTGCTGCGGCTTTGGGTCCCCTGCATTTGGCGACTGACCGGCAAGGATGCGACAGAGAACATGTCACAGCTGCTCAAATTCCTGGTGCTGTTCTTTTGGCCCGGCGTGGTGGCTGTACTTTTCAGACCAAGGTGGAGATAGCTGCGGAAAGAGGCTATTGCGGAGTGGTGGTTTACAACAGGAGGAGTGGGCTGCCACCTCCTAGGCTAGGGATTTTGGAACTTCCCGACATGTCGGTGGGACGTGAAGCTGATGAGCATGTAGCGATCCCAGGATGGCTCATCTCCAAGGACGATGGTCTCCAGATCTTGGGCCTTTTGTCCAACGGAACTGTGACTCCTTTGACCGTGAAGATCATGGAGCAGGAGCGTAAGGTTGCCTTATGGACTTCTCAGGCTGACCATCTTGGTGTTCGTGACTACCAGACAGAATAGCTTGACAATGAGAATGGGCACAATTTCACGCACAGTCGACGAATGCAAAATGCACAATGTGTAGTCAAAGCGCCAATTGTCAATGGTGCCCGGAATCAATGAAGTGTCGCGAGTTTGCATCATGAAAGAATATTGCAGGATGGATCAACAACATACACAGGTATGATCAAGGAAGGCAAGCGTCATGGCGACTGGCTTAGAGGGAGCAGTTGATGATGAAAAGGCTGAAGTCAACCGCTTGAGACTCTCAACTGACCTGCAATGATATGGCGAGGAAGGCACAAGCTTCATGCTGAGAGAAAAAAGAAAACACTTGCCCAAGGAAGCTTTGCTTCTCTTACCAGCTTCCTTCCATCTTTGCTCCTCGCTCTTTGGAGCCTTCAGCACACCCGGCCGCTCTTGCTCCCAGAGCAGGGGCTCCCCCGCTCCGACCACCCCCGCTGGGCTCCGAGGACTTGGTGGTCGATCGCCTTCGCCTGCGTTTGGTGGAACGCCGGGCCAGTGAGTTGGTGGCGCAGCTGCAGCGCCGCCAGGGAGATCGTTGGATCCAACAGGTCGTGGAAGGCGTGAGGGTTTTGCGTGGGAGGCGGTGGGATGTGGGGGAGAAGTGGTGGCTTTTTAGTCATTGACCAGGTACGACCAGATTATAGGCTTTATGGGACTTTAGAGGATCCCTTTGGGGATCAGTTGCTGCCGGGGGGGTTGTATTCAGTCACCTGATTGAATTGATACATTGATACATACATATATCTCATCTCCTGCCAGTTGGACCCCAACCGCAAAGAGATGACCATCCATATTGAGGGTTTCCCCATGGTTTCCCCTTTTCTGGACCAACGCGCTTCTCAGGCGGCTTTCATGCTGACGAGGCCATGCGACGGATTTGTGAGGCCGGGGGGAATTGCGTCAGAACGGTGTGGGAGGCGTTTTTATATAGTACAGAAACGTTTGACACCAAGCATTTCACATTGATAGGGCAACCAACACAACCAACGACCCGCCAATCCCAGTTTGTTTATCATTCTAAAAAAGTATGCGCGATGATGCACAGTTCCCTGAAACATGCTGGTCATCACATCGTACAAACATCTCTCTTTTGTGAAGTGGGCCCTCCTGGGTAATTAGCACATGCTTGACCACTAATTAAACTAGTTAGGCCGCGTGCACAAATCAATTGCCGCAGGTCTCAAGTCATCCAGCTTCACTCCCTCTACACACCCTCCTCAGCTTGCAGGTTTGCAAGAAACGAAACTGCCTCTGGCATTTCCGTATATAACCTAGCGCAAG